CCTAGGACACTTTCTGTTTTCAATGAAACATTCGCTCCGCTATTTAGGCTGAGCTAATTTGGTGTTGGTCAAGTGAGGTCGGTTTGAATTTTCAAGGTTGGTAGGTTATTTGTACTTTTTTGGAAAGTAAGGGCTTTGAGTGGAGTTTTTGGTTCCTTATGATGCTGATGTCATCAATAAGCAGCTTCAACCATTACCACAAAGTGCATCAGCTGGAAATCCTTTATGTTTTGTAACATTTTGTAAATTACCGTGCCAGTGAGCTAGTATTTGTTGAGTTCACTGCCTCTTGTCAAGTAATGGACATTCAGGGTGTTCTTGAGTAGCAAGAGTCAAAGAATGCACATGGAAAACATAAGTTAAAGATTTATTTTGGCTGTTGAGGTTGTCGAAAATGAGAATTTTCTACGTTTTAAACGCACCTAAATGCTCTCTTATACATCATACTGCATTTCATCTCATCATATTTCCTTATTAAACCTGCATTTAGTATCCAAGAAAGACGGTAAAAGCATTTTGATTCCCGCTACTAAGTAAACACAAGTGGTGCTAAATTTCCCAAAGAATATTGCATAAGGCTCTGCAGAAACGCATACTTATTAATAAGTCATAAAATGCCACGGGATAAAGCTAATATCATATCTCCAAACGAAATAACCTTCCTTAAGTTACCCTATCAAGCAATTTGGAGAACGATTCAGGGACATTAGAGCCACTCAAGGTATGTTCTGGCGTGTTTTCTGTGTATTTGAGGATGGCGGGAGGATTTCGACGCGTTTCCCCAGAATGTTTTCATTGATCTCCCACGAAACCTCCAAACATTTGCATAGAGTGTACTGCATCACATTCCATATTGTACATTCGTTCTTTGGAAAATTTTAAGGTTGAAAACGTACTACAGTACGACGTGAAACTATAGTTTCACTAAAACGAATAAAAGAAGGGCATTATGTATGTAAATAAACCATTTCTAACACTTTATCAGCCTATATGGATAGTGTTTGTGGTAAGGTCGTCCCGTATCTCTGCCAAAACCACTGGCCTGCTTGGAACTGCGTCTAAGAGAAGATTAGTAATGAATATAGTTGTTAGGAACTGAATTTTTAACATAACATAACAACAATTTCGCTTTATTCCAGAAACAGTACTTGTGGTACAGTGTGGAATTTTCAGCACATATCTACAATATTGCATCTAATTTCATCGTACATTTAAAAGGAGTATTATAAAAAAAAACCAAAAAAAGAAACAGAAATAACCAAAAAAAATGCAAATAAAAATACTGAGTAAAAAAAGAAGATCAACACAAATAATGAAAAAAAAATATTTCAGTATTAGTTAGTGGAAGCTACGATATGTGTATGCGTGGTAAACAGTAACAGCTATAATCATACGGGAAATTATAAGATGTTCTTAAAAAAAATGTTTATAGCCAAGATGATCAGTTAATTTGATTGAACAACACTAAGCAATCATAAGATAAACATTTCAGGTTTTTTTTTGTCAGTACTAATGCGGTTGTTTGTAGTGGCAGTGTGAGGAATCATGCATAATACAAAATTTTTTAAGATGGTGATAGTGGCAATAACAAACAAGATTGTCAGTTAAATAGTGCCGAACAAAGAACAACCACAAAACTAATGTTACATGATGGTTAATGACGGGACAATTTTTAATAATCATAGTGATAATATAGTCGGACCCAGTAGATGTACAAAGAAGGAATAGAATAAAGAATAAAAATGTAAGCCAATGATAATAATTTTAAGCAGCTAAGTATGTTTAAGAAGGTTGTTCACTATAGAGTACAAATAAGAGAGTGTAAGGGGGAAAAAACAAGGGCCAAAATTATGTTATTAACAACAAAGCAAGTCATAGGTTTCACGCCTAACATTGTCTCTGTCACTTAGAACACGGGCCAAATATGGTATCGTTGAGTTCCTATACTTGGTTGTGCGAGCATATATTATTTTATACTGATTTCTGGTTCTACCTGATGAGATGCAGGGAGAGAGTTGGGAATAGAGGGGGTGTTGGCAGTCAGAGAGTATGGTTTTAGACCATTTCTCACATGTATTCAGATGCTTGTCCACTAATGTTGTGACGAGCTGACTGAGTTTTACACCGCTAGTCCTGCTAACTACCTTCAACATCCTTCTCAGGATGGTATAGTCCTTTTTCAGTAACCCAGGAAAGACTAACGGGGAACAGTAAAGTAGAATAGGTAGGATACGAGAGTTGACCGAAGATTGCATACAATTTTAGAGATTTATATTGGACAACTCCAACTCTAATGTCGTTTTAATGGGAAGCTTTATTGCATCAAAGTTGACTCATGAAGAGTGGTAGGTGATATTTCATAGAATCTCAGGTATTTCGGAATCTTCATCTGCACATTGTACACCATTTAGGAGACACGTGTAAACAAAGATTAGAATTTTGAGTTATTACTTTTGTACTTTACATCTCCTTAAAAGCAATTATTAACTCATGCAAATACCTGTAATTTGCCAGTGATCTGAAATGAATGTTACACTTACGTTTCAGAAGTATCCATGATGAGTGCTGTGGAAACATTCCTTACTGAGGACTTGGAACCATTTGTAAGCGGTGTAATTAACGGAAGAGGACTGTGTACACAGTTTGTTCCATCGTGTAATATCATCGGTGGGATTTCCCATTATTTGCACTAGAAAGTCATATGTAATCAATATGTTCTTCTTTGGACGGCTAAACATTAAGTGAACTATTTATTCTAGCATACAATACGTCTTTTATTTATGCAGGGTTAAGGTAGCATGGACGGCCAAATTAAGCAAATGCATCGATACCGTCGCTTTAGTTAGTATGCGAGACTAGTGCAGAGTGAGCCTAAAGCTTTGGATTGCTACACTTTACTTTCTCTTCTAACTGCATTATAGTTGCATATAAGCACTATGCAAATTAGTTCCATGTATCAGTCTGTCAGTGGTTTTTAAGACTTTCATAGTAGCAAATATATGCCACCTATTCTCAGGTGAACATATAAGTTCAAAAGAATTGAGTATTATAAATCCTTCAAGGCGTAAATAATTGTAAAAGTATTAGACTCTATCCCGATTTCAGGGTTTGGGTTAGGTGAAGTGGTAGAGTACTACTTTTCAGTTGACATTCTGGGCACTGCTAACTGTGCTCAATCATTTTAATGTTATACTCTTTTGGACCCATGGTACAGATAATTTAGTTTTTTCGTCTTGTCTAGTTACAATGCTGGAGGAAAATCGGTAGTGCGTAGCTGTGGAATTACTGTTATTTAAGGTATTAGGCTTTGATTTGATCTGCTAAAGTTGGGTAGTTTGTATCCACCTCACTGTATTTCACTTGGCTGTAACACTGAAGTAAACTGAACTTTGAAAAAAAGTCAGACACTTCAAGTTGCCACGTTTGATTATATCAAGCTAGAGATAAAAATGCAAGGCGAATATAATGAATGAAAACTTATCTGAGAAGGAACAATTCCATAGAGAATGGTGAGGATTTAATGAACCTAGAAGACCGCAAAGAGCAAATACATATGTCCAATTGTAAACTATTTGGAGCCATGTTACCAATAGTCTCCAACCATCGATTCTTAGCGCCTTAATGACCAAATTCAGGTAGTCTACAATTACCTACGTTACTGAAATCAACAGTCAAAATCTTCACGCATCAATGCCAATTTTTGGACTATAACATACTGGTTACACTGTGTTACTACTGGTCACTGATGATAACAATGGTGGGGCAAAACCTAAAACAACTATTGAGGGTAGTTTATGGATTTTCATGAAGTATTAGTGAAGTGTTAGTAATTCGAGCAATCACGCGGTAATCTTAGTTTTTGTGTTTATAATATCTGTTTGTCTGTTTGCAAATCGCCTAAATTTTAACTTAGTTAGAGGCATGATGTCGCTTCATTTCTGTTTAAAGCACCCAAGAGTTTCAAGTAACATAGTTGACATCCAAACTAAAAGATTTTGATCTCCAACTTGTTTTAGATCTTAGAGAGATCTGAAGGCTTTCAAAATGTTATAGCTAATCCGTCAATTCACACACTTTTTCGTGCATCATTAGAAATATACGTATATTTGTATTGATAAAACTGAAAGATTGTATGAAGAATAATTACTCAATGCTAATGAACCCTAGCTTTTTGGATTAAATATTAGTTGTTTGCATTAGTAACCACTGAAATTTCTAGTCAATAGGGTTTAAAACAAATGTATATGTTGGCAATTGTAACCATGTTGAGTCAGCACTAAAGTTTTACGTAATCATAGGGTAGGTTAAGGAATATGGTATGATTAAAGTCACTGGTCACTTCAGGCGTTATCTTGTTGACAGTTACATTCTAATCACGAAATAATAAATCAAAGCCTTAACGTTTAATATTATCTAGACAACTGTATCAATTATTCGTTGTTTTTTGGTGTGTCTGCTTAAAATGTGTTCCGGCAGATGTGCTTTCAAGGCATCGCTGTATGAATATGGTCAAAAAGATGCATTTAGAAGATTCTGTGTGCTTAAAAATTGCATAGGTAGGTTTTTTTATCGAAGATTAAGTGGTGACGTAGCGATAGTGAGACCATATTGTTAATCGAATTTGCCATTTTAACCAAATTTTCAGTCTAATCGATCAGAATAAAATGACTCAGAATTCGTACCAGTTCCTTGACGTGAAATGGACAGCTCTTTGCTTGTACCAAGCTACTTAAATACGTGGTAGAGATGAAGTAAGTATGATCAATGAGAACTGAAATGAATTTGATACCCTAATCCTCTGTAGTTATTCAATTCTCACTGAATCTGTTTTTAACTGTATTTCTATTGCAGAAGTTTTGTAAATTTATTGATTACTCAAATTCATTTCTTACTTAATTGATTGCTTTCTTTTTCCTTCATATATGTATACTGAAAGACAATGTTATTCTGTAGCTAGTTGAATTATCAGCACCAGACATCTCCAGCTACGTGCTTCAGCTATGTCATTGAGTGAGATAGTTGAAAATGTGAAACAAGCGAGGGAATTGGCTCTTCTTGGGAACTATGAAAGTTCACTGACATATTACTCTGTTGGTCTTGCACAGCTTAAAAATTTTACTGTATCTATTTCAGAAGCAAACAGAAAACAACAATGGCAGACTGTAAGTATTACTACGAATAAATTTATTAGTAACTTTTAAATAGTCTTTAGTCATTTATTTTTCTCAGACCGATTTACCGATAAATTTCAGCCTAAATAATTCCATTGTCTAATCTCAGAGATAAGGCATAAGTTCACTTTAAAAATAGGTAGTCTTCGGTGGCACAGTGGTTAGGACTCTCGCCGACCATGCACCTGGTCCGGGGTTCGATCCTCTGCCGACGCACACCTGATATCTATGGTTGGCCTGCAAAATTTGGGCTACCGATATCCACGCTGAAAATTCCATACTTGTACCAAAAATACAGTGTGGAATCAAGCTGTAATTAAAAAAATAAAGATATGTGGTGTAATATAGGTAGTTAAGTAAATTTACAGGGCGGTAAACTGAAAGGAAAAAGTTGGTTCCTGGATAAGACTAACGTGTAATAGTATAATTAAGTATATTATAGTAATACGTACTTAAGACCACAGCTGACAATGAAGTCAATATTATGTAAGACGTTCTCGTTTTTAACCAGAGGAGGTGTCGTTCTCATTATCAGGTGTTTGTTTCTTAGTTTTCGTCAATTGTGTTCACTATTTGGTTACTCGGCTTCCATTTCTGGTCAACAAAATGTAGAATAATAATTCTGTGAAAAAAATATGAGCACAGTTGCGTGAACATCGTCTTTTACTGTGGGTATTTGATAGCTCTTCTTAATGATTGAAAAGTTCCTGTTTGATTCCAACGAACTAGACTTGTTTATATATATTATTTTGCAGTGTAACAATATTTGAAAAAATTTGGTTTGCTTTCGATTCTAAAATTAATTTCGACGTGTTGTTACATGAATCTTCACATAGCCTTTTGGTTTTACGTCTTTTAAGTTTCCTGAGCATTGCAACCTTTGTTTATTTTCGCTCTTATTTGTCTCAGGTGCGACAAGAACTGGCAGATGAATATGAACTGGTAAAAGATGTAAACCAAACTTTATCCAGTTTCAAACTATCTGATGATGATTCAGGCCTAAGCGCTTTCGCTAGCCGCTACAATTCTCGTGGAGCTGTTGAAGAACCGACCAGAGATCCAGATGTTTGGCCACCTCCACCACCCTTAGATCGGAGGCATGGTGGTGGCGCTCAGAACTCACCTTTGTCCAATGTACAGATTAATGCTGTTCCTAGTTCATATTACAAATCACCCATTACTCATGGCCCAGTTCCTTCTCCTTCTGCAAATGTGAAGTCACCCGCTAATGTTGGAGCATCCGCACGCCGTCAAGCAAAACCAAATCCTACAAGTGCACGTTCTAAGGGCACAGCTCAGTCTTCCGGTAATGCTCTTGTAATCATTTATTTTTATGTTGTATTATCTTGTTCCTTCGTAAATCAAAGAATTCTTCCAATCATGTCCGGTTCATTTCTCAATTTTGCCTTCCTTTGTGTAAGTCAAGGAACCTTAGGGAATCGATGGAACATATAAAAGTTCCGAGTATTTAGTAAAGCTAAATTGGTTGACACTCAAGTATACACAGCTTTTTTCCAATAAAGTATAAAAGGTCGTTATTAAAACCTATATAGTGTGAGGTAGAAAAGCATAAAGAATTACATGAGTTGTAGCAGCTTAGTAATTCGAATATTCCGATAGATTCAGTTGTAATCTGCAAGTTGCTCAGTGTTTTTGTTTTTGGTGGGACTAAAGCTTGTAACGACAGAAGATAAGAGAATCGGCAACGGACTTTTATTCAGGAAAAGCACATCATATTTATACATTATTAGCCACATTAAATTTCAGCTAGGTCAGAGGAGAATAAACTGTTCTGATTGGCTGGCAATTGGCCCAAGTCCGCACTAGGAGCTGACATGTCTAAAGAGACCGAGGATTTCAGTCCGGTAGTATCAACCAATAGGAAGTTCAAATTAACTTAAAAACTAACAGTTGATACTTGTTGTACAAGAGGTGGCTTTCATGGCCCGGTTGACAACTGCTACCTTGTCGTGGTGGTCGGCCTTGAATACCGCGGTCACTCAACAAGCTACACTGGCTGTGACTTATGTTCGTGCAGGTCCTGCCATGCTAGGAAGGTTGTTGGATAGCGATCAGACTAACAGCAGTTACTATGGGGTACATGGGCTCCAGGATCCAATCGGATCGAATGGCGTTCGAACCTGTGTTGGTCACCAACATCCATGGGAACGTTGCTCCTGACGCTTTTCTGCTATCTTGCGGATTAGACACCATGTCAAAGGCTTGCGGGGTGATCCCTTAAGACAACCACCTACTTCAGTCTGGGCTCTCGGGCAGTATCTCAGATATAATCAATGAAATGAAACAACGAACTATCAGTGAAACTAATCTCACACTGTTTACTGTGCTCTCGAACATAATTGATGTTTCAAGTGACGCATTGCTTTCCTACCGTATTTTTTTATACATAGACTCCTGTGTTTTACTTTTGCTATCGTTGGTGACTTTACTTTCGTCAGCCTTTTGCGTTTATCTGAATTCCCAGCTTATCTATCCCATTTCGGGATTTCAGTGAGTAGCCTTCAAAATGGTTGTCCCCAGTGCAACACCTAACACAGATATCCTGAAACCGCATGTCGCCTTCAAACTTGCTACCTAAAATGTTTCAACACTGATGCGAATCGGACAACAGGCAAGTTTCTTGAGAACATTGGAAATCCCCGTTATCGATATCTGCTGCATTTCGGAGACCCTCATTTAAGGTCCCAGTGAAGTGCTTCGATTATCCTCTCCATCTGAAATTTCTAAAAGTATGTACCACCTTAACGTCTCCGGGGACCCTATGGCGTCGGCACCCGACGTAGCTGTTGTCGGTGTCGCACTAAGCACTAGAGCCGAGGGTGTATTACTCGACTGAATCCCCATTAACAGTCGTTTATGTGCTGTAAGGCTGGAAGGTAAGGAGTGGTAGGCTAGATAGGCGGTGTCTATTCGTTGTCTCTGCCTATGCGCCGATGGATTACAGCCTGGATGCATTAGTTGAGTGTGGTCATCTGGAAACAGCGGCTTCGGTGGCTTGGACATGTGCCTCGAATGTCATCTCAGGGGCTTCCGTCCGTCTGTCTGTCTGTTTTCGACATAGAACTTTGCACATATGTGCGGCAGTTCAAGGGGCTTCCGTACCAGTCTCTGTTTGCTAGCCCTGGGACGGGATGGAAAAGGCGGAGAGGTGGTTAGCCCATGACGTGGTGTCGCGCGACAAAGGATATTTGTGCTTGGTAAGCGTCGGTTAGTGCGTCACGACTCCTTGGTTGGAGTCCGAGAGATTGAATCAATGGCTCGAAAAGTTATCGGATATGGCCAAGAATCTCAATCAGTGGCAAACGTGCTGCAATTTCCTTCTATCTTCCCCTTCTGGAAATAATTCGATGAATGAAAAATAACTGCTTTCTTCCCAGATGAATTCCTTTATTTATTCTCTATCTACCTATATTTTTCATATGTTTAATTATTATTATTATCGTGTGGCGCATCTTCTTGGTGCCATATTGTCCCAGGTTTTGTGTTTTAAATGAAAATAAATTTAAAGATTTCATGGTCTAGCGGATAGTGTTTTATCATTTTCAACGATGGTTACAAGGTTTGAGTCTCAGTAAAGACTCCTTCACTCACTGACAGGCAGGTACATCTAGACGATGACTTCCCAATGCAAGTTCGTATTTTGGCTAATTTCCTATCAGGTTTTGCAATTACACAATAAAATTGCTTATTACAGACATTTGATACCAGTGTGGTTAATAAAATTACAGTTCAAGTATGTCAATCAATAATAAGGGGAACAACCTTATTTTGGAAATTATGTCTACATACAATACAGAATTCGCAGAGTAATTTTTTAGGAAAATATTCACTTGAAGTAAAATATCGACAGCATAGCATATGATCCAATGTTGTTCCATCTGAGAGACAAGACGCAATCTTCATATCCTTCTTGAAATGCACAGCAGTACGTTTGGTTGCGATCATGTTTCAGTTCTAAGACATAGTAGAAAGGTTGTAACAATAAGAAACGGAGGAGAGTAGATGCATTATGCTAGATGGAAATTTAGGTGATCCAGTGTTTTAGATAGACAGGTAGTAGATAATAATCAAGGTGATCATAATAATAATAGTAATAACAAGGATAAATTCATGCGAATGTTTATACTGCTCAGGTAGTCAGTCATTATCTAATTTCTATGAGACAATAGTTGTTTCGCATTCCTACTCCCACAAATATGCATATATATGTACCATGATGAGTTGCGAAGCTGGGATTAATATGCAGCCATAAGCCAATATGACAATGATAATAAAAATAAAGTTAACAGTACAAATGAAGAAAATATTTACAGTTGTTCAATGTCATTGGGATAGAAAACTATTCTTGTTAGGGGGTGGATGGGTGGGTGAGAGAGTGATTGGATGGAGTTTTCCTAAACATATGGATTGAGTTAGAGACTGACTCTGACAACTGCATCTTTCTCTATGCTACTATCCATTCTAGGTCAATGCTTAAGTGCTGTTATTGTTGTGTAGTTGTCTAGGGAATTATCGATCTCGCAATACACTTATCCTTATTTCTAAGCCCTTATAAGCTGTGAAGTACTGTAGAAGAGATTTAGTACTTTGAGTTGAGTGTTACAAACAGGTAAAGAAATGTTGTAGACAACATCGCTTAGTTTTATTATTTAACCGTATGGATTAAGCAGAACAAGGCTGGAAAAGGTAAATACTATTTGAAGGGATGATCCTGTAATCATTCCTAACATGAAACCTTTCAGAGCAAAGGTGTGAAAATGCTCTTCTTTTAATGTATTGGATAGTGAAAATCCCAATTACAGTTAGAAAGGACAGTTTTGAAATTTTATCTCCTTATTTTAACAATAATGATGAATCTTGTGCTTTTATACGTATAAAAAGTGTATTTCAAATGGTTCCACTTACTGTTAGGTAAACTAACTAGTGTCAAGTAAAAAACGAACAATTCTTTTCACAAGGCAACTGACTGACTAGTTTCAGCGTAGAACTTTGCACAGATATGCAGAAGTTCGAGTTGCCACACGCCATGTAGCACACAAAACAATCGAAGAGAGTAAAGTGAGATTCAAAGAAGAGATAATAAAGAAAAGTGTGATAGGAAAGAGCATTACTACTGAAGAACAATAGAGTTGTATTGGATACGACAAATCACAAAGAGTGAATGCATCTGCGCCATCAGTGAGAACAATTTTGAGCCACATCAATTGTCTCCAGCCTTTATTGATTCTTACTATCCCGAGGACCCCAACCAGAAAGTCTTCACCTCCCTACGTGGCTGGCTGGCTGGCTTAAACTAACTGTTGTGGATTTCATTGACTGATGCCGAGGCAATCAGTAAGAGAAGTATCCCTTGTATACCATCACTCTGTAAATTATATCACATCTAATTTGTGCTGATGTTATATACTTACACATTTTTCGATAAGGAAAATAAATTTTGAGTTATCTGGCACCCAAATTATTTCTTCATGTTTACAACATCTATGGTCTGAATATTGGTAGCTTCTGATATGTATCCATATATATATATATATATATATATATATATATATATATATATATATGGTGGTCTCTCTTCCTGTTTCCTCGCTTAGTCTGTGACCATTTCACTTTGATGAACCTGTCTCCTTTAACAATGTATATTCCCCTTATATTATATGCAATATGAGTGTTTGTTGACAGTCCGTTGCTTGGTGACATATATCCATATTATATGTGTGGTTGTTGACATGTCTGCTATATTTTGCTATGTATATATGGATCGATACTCCATTATAATTAGCCATTCATGTTAAGACTGTCTATTGATTTGTTCACACACTTGTCTGGACATTCATATATATTTCGCTCTCACAATCTTGTGTGACTACTTTTGGTGTGATACCACTTATTGCTTCTCCTTGTGTTTGGAAAATAGAAGTATCATCGCAAACCTAGTGGTCTTCTGATTTCCGCCTTCTTGCTTCAGGACTATTAAATTCTCGACCATTACATAGGAATAATTTGGCGACGAGTATATAACAGCTTCTTTGAAGGATAACAGCCTGAATTAATACAGGACTCTGAAGAACCCTATGCTGTATTCAGTCAGGAATCTCAATTGTAATCAATTGTTACATTATGTTTGTCAAATCACCTATCATGGTTAGAGATTATAGTTGTTTGTGAACTGGTTCTCTTGTAATTGTAATAAAGTGACTCTCCACTTTGTCTACCTTTTTCGACTATTCACCTTAAAAATGCGCTCATCACAGAGAAGGAATCTATGGATTTGTCAAAGTCACTATCCATTTTTATACTTGCGTAAGTATTTTTAGCTGATAAAGTTTTGTTTTTTCATGTTTTATCTATAATTCAGTGAACAATCGTCGGGCTAAGCCTGGATCTCAGTCTACTGGAGACTCTGCCAACAACAATAGTGAAGAAAAGTTTGATGCAAGCGGATATGATAAAGATCTTGTAGAAACACTCGAAAGAGACATAGTTCAACGCAATCCAAATGTTCGATGGGATGATATAGCTGCATTAGATGATGCAAAGCGTTTACTTCAAGAGGCTGTGGTTCTCCCGATGGTTATTCCCGGTTTCTTTAAAGGAATTCGTAGACCATGGAAAGTATGTATCGCATGGGTCTTTTCTAATTTTATTTATTTTTTAATTCTGCGTTCCAAATTTAACTCAAGGGTTTAAGGCTTTTGGAATTTCAGTAGGGGTGGTGTTGTTTTTGCTGGGTGCAGTTACCAGCCTTATAACCAACATCCCTATTTTTACAGGCCTGTTGTTAGCTAGTAAACTAGGCGAAGTTTAGGAGTGCGTTGGCCGGGAGTCGAGCCTGGACCATGCGTGCGTATTTAATATTATTATGTATTGTTTACTAACATAGAACGCGTGAGGTACCCCCTAGATGTGCGTCGGTGGCACAGTGGTTAGGACTCTCGCCGATCATCCACCTGGTCCGGGGTTCGATCCCCTGCCGACGCACACCTGATATCTATGGTCGGCCTGCAAAATTTGGGCTACCGATATCACATGCTGAAAATTCCATACTTGTACCAAAAAGACGGTGTGAAATCAAGCTGTAATAAAAAATGCATGGAAGGAAACACAGTTAAGGTTATCGGCTGCAAAGATACAAAAATAATCAGCTTAGTCGATGGGGAAGTTTTAAACTTTATTACAAGGTTCAGGAAACGAAGACAAGATTTTTTAAATCTGCGCTGGTTATCAGTGATCATCTATTTTCAATAGGAGTGTTCTACCGTATCTAATACCCGTTTTATAAATATCCTGCTGAAATTATCTACGTTCATATCACATTTAAGAATGATTAATTAGTTTCTTTCAAGTTTGATAACGGTTTGATGCCAGTTAGAGCACCAGTGAAAGCCAGGAAGTGCCGGATGGCTATCTGGTCCTAGCCCATAACTCTTCATCAGTACTCACCCGACGGGATTCGAACTTAAGACTCGCCAGTTACAAGGCAAGCTCATAAACCGATCAACCGCTGGGACCCGGTCAAATGGCCCATGATTTGCAACTTTTACAAATTAGTGATTTTAGCGTGACTACCAGCCAATGTCATCGGTTAGTATTTATACTCACGCCGGGAGGTCCAGGGTTCGAACTCTGGCGGCTACGTGCTGTGAAGAGTCTCAAACTAGGACGAGGCAGCTGTGCCTGCTTCCTGGTTTTCAACGGTTCTCTAACTGATCAAGCTTGAAGTGAATCAGATCCCTAGAACCTAATTCATGGAGATAGTTTCTGTTGAGCAGATCTAAGACAGTAAATAAATTTATGGGTTACGGTTGCTAAAGGTTTATTTGCATCTGATTATCATAGCAACTAGACCTCATACACTAACGCGATCATCTCAGATTGTTGTTAATTATTATTTTACTGTTTATTTTTGAGTTCAGCTGAAATTTGATAATGGTTCCTTTTGAAAATTTAAAATATTCAGATCAAAGTCCATGATCTACTCAATACTGTAAATAGGATCAAGAAAGAGGGCGAAACGTCTACACAATACATACTAATGATTGGTGCGAATGGTTGGACCGTACTGTCAATGTCTAGCAATACTCTAATGAAATCTAGGTGAACTAAATACCGGAGAGTCATTTTGTATGTTTCAGGCTGAACTCATCAGCAGTTTTCTTGAATTAATTTACCTCAAAATGTCGGGGTCAATAGCCTGGTCGAAGCGTATTTGATGAATGTCTTCTTTGATACACTTTGTTTTCTGAAGTGCAGTGGTAGATGGTGCTTGCATTTCATTTTTGTGTTTTATTGTTGGTTTTTCTCTCAAATAAATCATATTTTCTTTTACTGTAAAACGTCACTCTGTAATCAGCTGTTGTAATGAAACGTTTGGTAATAAGCAACGACTGATAATACTAAATAGTTGTTCTAACATTGGTAGACAGAACCGGAATTGGAACCTGCAAACCACCGGTTGAAATTTAAGTGTCTAGTTCACAGCTCAGACCAGGATGGTCGAGTGGTTAAGGTGGTGGACTTAAGATCACCTGGGGTATATCCCCCGCTTAGTGCGTCGGTGGCATAGCGGTTAGGACGCTCGCCGACCATGCACATGGTCCGTGGTTCGATCCCGGCCGACACACTCCTTTACCTTGCTAAGCCAGAAATAATGCTGGTAAAGAGGAAAGGTTGGGTATGAGGCTAGCAACCCCATCTTGTAAAAATAAACACTGCTACAGAAACTTCAAGCCACTAGCTTGAAGCCCTATGTTCCACTGGGGAACGTGAAGGAAACATTTAAAAAAATATAAAAGTTCACAACTCTACTCACATTCCTTGAGTGTTACTATCATCTCATAGTGGGTTTGTTGTGACAGCTGCATACTGTCAGAAGAAGATTGAAATGAGAAGATAAAAGTTTTGTTTTACACAGCTTATCCGGTTTAAATGTATATATCATGTATTCCAGAAAATCCTGCAATTTTGTATTTTCCTGTTTTAGGGTGTATTAATGGTTGGCCCACCAGGTACCGGTAAAACGCTACTAGCTAAAGCGGTGGCTACAGAATGCGGTACTACATTCTTTAATGTTTCCAGTTCTAGTTTAACAAGTAAATGGAGAGGAGAGTCAGAGAAATTAGTTAAACTTTTATTTGATATGGCACGTTTCTATGCTCCAAGTACAATATTTATGGATGAAATTGATTCAATTTGTTCTCGACGAGGTAGTGAGTCAGAACACGAGAGTTCCAGACGAGTGAAATCTGAACTTTTAATTCAAATGGATGGTATGTGATTATTTTTAGTGTCTAATATCCTTTTTTTTATTCGCTCACTAGTTAGATCAATTTTATTTTGAAACCAGTGGTGTTTTCACATTAAGTTTGTGGATACTCAAATACATCCTTTTTTACTTTCCGAACTTGAATATTTTTGAATTATGCTTTTTTTTTAAAATTACTTTGGTCATCTTCAGTGTTGCTTGACAAAGAATGGAGTGGTTTTATCTTTTTTTGTCTTGATCGGTCTATTGTAGAACACTCACTAAAATTCAAATGTATAATTGAATTTTAGATTTGCCCGTCGATTGATTGGACTGAAGTGCTCGGTCTCAGGTGCAGATGCTTCGACGATGTCTGGGCATGTAATCAGAATTTAATTGGTGTATGGTGACTAGCAGTGGAATCCAGGATGCGCATTTCATCCTGTTTGGGACTCGTCATCTGGATGTACCTGCATTCCGCAGTGAGTGATAGTGTTCCCACCTAGGCTGGAACCCACTGGGGAATCCAGGTACATCCAGATGACGAGTCACAACCAGGTCGAAATACGCATCCTGGATTCCACTGCTAGTCACCATACACCAATGAAAATCAAAATGCTCTAAATAAGGCACGTAAATTCATTTATTTCACAGAGTATGATATTCACAGTTATTTCTCCTGTTTATTGAGCCTTGTGTATTCAAGTATTGGACAAATTATGATGAAATTTATCAATTTTACTGTGCATCGTATTGTTTGAAGAGCTTTCTAGCATTGGTTAATTTATCAGGAATTGATTGCTTGTTTCCACTCGTCAGCAAGATGTATCTGCCGCCTTGGAGGAATTCATGTTCTCTCCGAAACTCCAACCCATCTCACCCGGTGCTGCAATCAGAGACATTACAGCTGAGATATTCAGACTCATGATTGACCTCTTGTAGGGTTTCAATGGATACAGTTATTGGTCACTAGAGAGTAACTCGCCTCTTGTATCTAGTGCATTACTGATGACGGCATGAGTTCCTTCAAGGTTGCAGAAACTCCTTGCTGATGGTTGAGTACAAGCATCAAGCCTAGGTCCAGGGTTTCCCACCAATTGCATTCACTCATCTAATATCAGTTCAGAGTACAACACGATGGCTAGGCACTTAGCCTGGTTACCGCATTGTAAACTTCACTGACAGAATTAATCTATAAAACACAAAATAATTGAGCAAAGAATATTCTTTTCGATAAATTCCTCTTCTGGCTCTACAACTATATATGTTTATATACATAGAATATTCTAGATTAGTAGTCAATAACAATATTAGTGTTTTTTAAATAATATCGATCAATGCAATTATAATTTATTAAAGATGCTTGAATTATTATAATAATAAAGATATAATAGTAAATAGAATATCAACTAAAATTAGGAAAATTCCACAAAAATTGAGGATCACTGAAACCTAGATGGCCAAGGTAATGATAATTTCTGAACTAACTTCTTTCGGATGCACAAATTAGGCTTGTTAATATGGATCCCCACAGCCTCAGCAATATGTAGTAGATGAACTCTTAAGGCAAAGTTAAGATTTGTTGGTATGCGGTAGATGACTTTGAAAGTTGCCTCGTTAACATCAATCTTGTGTCCTGTATTCACAAGATGAGATAGAATAGCGCTATGTGAATGGATTTCGCTTGTCCTTTGCTTAACCACGCAGGGGGATGTTCGGAAATCCGAGAAGAGAAACACGCCTAATTGTACAGTCTGTGTAACTGGCTTCACAGGAACAGGTAATTGGTAGATACACATGGAAGAGGCAACAGACAGAATTCAGTCTGTACCAACACTGAAGACCAGACACATGACAATGATCACACCCTAGTGACCAATCAATGTAAATGTGTTGCATCTGTATTTCCAATACGTGTAACGTCTACTGTTAAGTTATTCTTGAAAAATATTTAAAAATAATGCAGAATCTTTGTGAATTACGTAAGGGAAATTATTTTACTAACGGATTTTGAAGGTTTGTCTAAAAAACAAACTGCTCATCAGAGTATACCAATAGGCTTTTACATGATTTGCTGTTTATTTTCAAGTGTTGATTTGTTAAGATTCGACTGATCTGAAGTTAGATCACGAACTTACTCATCAGTTAAAGAACCATTAGGAAGCCAGTAAGTACTAGACAGCTGTGTCATCTTAATTTACGATTCTTCAATAGTAGGCAACCATGATCCCAGGGTAACTGAACCCAAAGCATTCAGGTTACGATCATCTAGTAACTGGGATGAAATCTAATAGCTCATGAATTCTGCCTTCTACTGCGAATTCCATATCAGATGAGTTTATTTGAAATAATACACAGTGGTACCAGTATTAATAACTGGATGACGTTTCGAAAAAAATTTATTGCTCATAATCATATCAATTATAATCACACGACTTTGAAATTTCAGTTTTAAAGTATAATTTACTTTATATATATATATATATATATATATATATATATATATATATATATATATATATATATATATAAATTTCTTCTCTCTCCTTGTTGTTTTGTTGCCATATCTCATATCCACAGTATAGGCGATAGGTTATTTTTGCTGCACATGTTTGTTGTTGATTCGATAAACGAAGATTCAGCGATTAACCTCTTTTTCTATCTACTTTCTAGTAGTTACCTACCATAAATTGTGCTTGAAAATTCACCAAGTTATTATTACTTCACCACTGTATTTTATATCATGTAAACTTATCTAATATGGAATTACATCCCTACCTCAGTGCCCAAGTTCTACACTAACATTAATTCTACTGCGAGGTTGTGACAAGTGGAGTTCACCAAGTCTCGAGTATGAGGGCAGGTACCGGGCGATGACGTTGTCTGGCGGTGGTTGTGCGGTATATCGCGTTTTAGAAGAAGTAAGGATTTGTAGGCTATTGGATTCTGTTCCAGTGGCTGAATTCCCAAGGGAGTCGCCTCGCTCTACTTTGTGTAACGGAGTAATGAGTGGTGAAAAGATCCATAAGCGTTTCATGGGTTTAACTTAGGAGTAGTTTAAAGAGTAAGATATGCAGAGTTTGAATATTTAATCTTCTTAGTTCCATGTTACTAACTTTCAAACAATGAAACATTTACACCAAAATGATTTGAAATCTTACTAGGACTTAGTTATCCGAGGAAAACGTTTCATTTATCAGGTTATAAGCCACACTTCAGTGATAGCTGATGATTCTGCCCAGTTGATCAGAGTGAAGCAGTTGGATCGGGTTTCTAGCCTACGACTAAGTAACTGAAAGTTGACTGTTCAAACGATGAACCGCATTTCCATAATTTAAAGTTGTACAAAACAACTTATTATTTCAAGGATCAATAACTTCAGCTGTGAAATCACTGACTGTTTGAGCTATCACTAGTGGGGTGATTAATAAAGCTGAGATATTCAAAAAGTCATATTCCAGAAAGTGGATTAATGCTTGTAGTCAAAAGAAGCAGTTTTAAAAGTGTAATTTCACACTCCATGATTTTATTTAGCTTAAAAATGAGTCTGAAAGTATACGAATCGAATTACCCATTGTGTGGCTAAGAATTTACTCTTTTTCATACTTGATTATGATGATGATGTTGAAATATATAACCTTAAGTTTACTGTATTTTTTGAATTCTTCACATATCCATTTTGACTCGTTTATTAGCAAATTGATTCACTTTTGGAAGTGCATTTTGGAAGAAAGGCAAAGACTAGCTGTCTTCGATCATATGTGCCTGCGTTCTATCTCCCATGTGAAGTGGTATAATAAAGTGAGCAGTATTGAGATTAGGCGTCGAGTGCTAGGTAGGTTGGAGGGGAAACCAATCAATGAGGTTGTGAAGCTACATCGACTGAGATGGTTAGGACATGTGTTACGTATCCCTAGTCATCGCCTCCCTAGACGGGCAATGTTAGCTGATATAGGGTCAGGCTGGAAAAGAGCTAGTGGCGGTCAAACCAAAACATGACTTCATCACTCAACGAAATCCACAACAGTTAGTTTAAGCTACGTAGGAAGGTATAGACTTCCTGACTTGTTGGCGTCCTCGGGACGGTAAAAACAATGGAGGCTGGAGACAATCGGTGATATGGCTCAAAATCGTTCTCAATGGCTAGTGCAGATGCATCTACTCCTTGTGACTTATGATTTCCAATGAAACTGTATTGTTCTTTGTTATTACTATTCCTTTGTCTCACACCTCTGTTTACTGTCTCTATTATGCTTTTCTTGTACTTTCTTCTCTTGCTTTGTGTGCTACATGGAGTGTGGTGACTTGAACTGGTGCACATCGGTGCAAAATTCTATGTGGAAAACAGACAGACAGAAATTGATGCATTCATTTTATCATTTTAAAGAAAAAACATCTTTTAATTACCTATCACATGCATACAGGACATTTGAGTACGAATCACGACTGGTTAACATATAGGCAGCCTACGTCGCCTCCATTCAAGTTTTGGCAACTAAATAGTATAATGATTCCTCATGGGATTCATAATCCATTGCTGATAAATACATGTGGTTCTTAAGATGCCTTAATTATCAATTATTGAGTCTTATTCTAACCTGTAATAGTCGTTTTCTTATGCCTGTATGTGATTATATATCTTCGTATGAATTAACATTCCCCTTACCTTTAAGTTGAAAAACTAGTAATACTTATGTATAAACATATATCAATAGATAGTTCTTTTTAAATGTCAATAAATAATCGAAGATTTGTTTCACATATACAAAAATTATGATATCTTATACTTTTTTTCACCACAGTAACTTACTCCACCTGTTTTATGTTTCAGCGATTTATATGTTGAACATTTTTATATTTCAAAAACTACTCAGCTGTGTGTCCGTTGTTCAACAAAGTTAACTGATGTTTTTAGACTTTAGGAATTCAAGCCTCGAAACGTATGAATTACACATACAACTAACTGTTGCCTTACTATAGATATTTTCTTTTAAAAATTTATTCTAATATATAAGGAGTGACGGGTGCAACAGGACAAGATGAAGATCCATCAAAGTCAGTTATGGTTCTTGCGGCTACAAACTTCCCATGGGACATTGATGAAGCCTTACGAAGACGTCTTGAGAAACGAGTATATATACCACTGCCAAATGGTATGTATTTTATGAATTTTAAATGAAAAGTTTCAGAGTTATTCTGTTTGTATAATAAATGCGTAGGCTATAAGTTCACTTTATTTATTTCATGTTCATTTTACAATATGTATAATCGTTTTTTTTTACCCTTTGTGACATACTTAAAAGTCGTTTGAAATGGTGCATACATATTCATTCCTTGTCACCTTTACATATCCTGAACATCTTCATTCGCTTATTTCCTCTTTTATGTATTTTTGTCTGTCTTAGTTTCTCTATATTTATGTGTGCTTTTTGGAAATGTGAAGACTCAAACTAATCGTCTTTTTCTCTGCTAAACTGGTTAATGATTTTCTAATATTAGAACAAGATATAGAAGCGAACAATATTGTTTTCAATTAGATCTTCTTCAGGCTTTACTCTAATTTACATAGATTTATATGTAAACAAAATTTTAAACCAATGACGGTGATTTGGTGGATCAAATAATAATAATAATGTGGTAATTGTTTTGAACGTAGTTAGTAACGATTATTATTATTATTATTATCTTTTAACACCTAGACGAACATAGGGCTTCAGCTGCGCATCTCCATTGCCTTCGGTTCTCTGCCAGCTTTTTCACCCCGCTCCAAGTCTACCCACATGCTTTCATCTCCTCTTCACATGACCCTCCTCCAAGTCACGCCACCATCGCACTGACGACCAACTCGCCGCTTCCCTTTCGGGTTCAACTCGAGCAATGGCTTGTCTAATCATGTCATTCATTTGATGGTTTCCTCAAAGTATGGCCAGCCAATCCATGGAGATGGACAACTGTTAATGAAGGTCTGTAATTTGTTTGAGGTGTTCTTTATGATGCGCAGTGCAAGTCTCTGATCCGTATAGTCAGTAGCACTAACTGACTTCACATTGGAGTTGAAAATTCGGATGTTATTTTTGATGCAGAGTGCTGGTGACCTCCACACAGACTTGAGAGTAATGAAAGCTTGTCTTGTTTTTTCGATTCTTGCTTTGATATCCTCGTCAGTTCCGTCCTCCTGTAGTTGAAACGACAATGCTTCCCAGGTCGGTAGGTAGGTGAAGGCGGTTGTTTCTTTCAGGTTTCTCCCATTTATGCCGGCTGATTGTCGTCTGTTGTTGTGGTTGCTGTTAGTGTTGGTCAGGAATCTTCACCACCTCTGTTGTATCTATGTTCACCTGAAGTCCTATCTTTGATGCTTGTTCTGCCAGCTTGTTGCTTCTCACTTGCATATCTTCTAGTTTGTGGGAAATTAGACATATATCATCGGCGAAGTCCAGATCCTCCAAGTCTTTTGTGTGAGTCCATTTTTCGCCTGTTTCCTCTTTGCCCGCCGTCTAACTCGCTATCCAATCTACTGCAATCAGGAGGATCATTGGCGATAGTAGGCAGCCTTGTCGCACTCCTGTCCTCCCTTCGAAGGCTTCCGTAAGTTTCCCGTTGTGGATTACTTGGAGGCATGCAGCATTGTCGTATAACTGTTGGATGAGATGTATAATTGTCGATGGGACCCCGTAGTAGCGACGTAGTTGCCAAATGACCTCTCGATCGACGCTGTCCACTGAAGGCCTTTTCAAAGTCGATGAAGTTGAGTGAGGTGGAGAGGTGACTGCCATTCCAAGCTTTGTTCAATGATGATCCGCGGTGTGAGGATTTGATCAATACATGACTTGTTTCTCCTGAATCCAGCTTGTTTCGGTCGAAGTTTTTCATCCAGGTTGGCGTGTTTGATTCCCTCCAGGATGATGCGGCTTAGTATTTTGCTTTGGCTGGACAGGAGTATAATTCCACGCCAGCTTTTGCATTGTCTTAAGTCTCCTTTCTTTGGTAGTTTGAATAAGTATCCTTTCTTCCAATCCTCAGGTGCTTTGCCCTCTTTCCACAGATTATAAAGTTAACAAAATATTGATAATAAGGTTTATGCAGGTGGCGATAAGAATAAAAAAGGTAGTAATATGTGTATATGTAGGCAATTCAATCAATAAATAAATTAGGTAAAATCCTCAAAGTTATGTAATACTAAAGATGAAGTGCACAGATAATCAGAGTTTAAATAAATATCATAAAAATACGAAGGAGATGGAAAATAAGAAAGGGTGGGAGGGTTTTGAATAGAATTCACCTAGGCGAAGCAAGGGAGAGACAAAGGTAGAACAAACTTCTTTTGTATACGAAGACTAGGATTGTTCTCTCAAATTAATTTCGATAGTTTGGTTATGCGTAAAAGGAAAAGCGGGTTCGAATTCCGTTAAAAAGACTCCATGGAATGCGACAGATAACTTTGAAGGCACTGTTTTTGTTCACTTGGTGACCGCTATCATCAATCAAATGAACCAAGATAGAACTTCTTATAGATTTTATTTGACCTTTTCCGAATCATGAAGGAAGGTGCTCACTATAATGCGTTTGTTAAGCTGTCTAGTTCGCCCTATATAGCTCTCTCCACAGAAGCAACTAAATTTATAGATACACATAGAAGTGGCACAGCTAGGTAGTTTCTCTTCCACTTGGGCAATCATAATGTATATCTTTGAACTTATAGCCTACGCATATATATTTTCTACCTGTTCTGCACAGATTTCTTTTGTTAAATAGCAATTGTTTTGTGTATATTTGTATAAACTTAAACTGATTATCTTGTAGTAGTGAGACATCATTTACGACAAATTTGTATAACTGTACCCTAAAATATATGATTTCAAGTGATGAATACTTTACGTATGAAAACCGTAAAACAGGCATTTCAAGTTCAGACATTATAAAATGATTGACTCAATCTTCATACAACTAATCTTTATGCTAGAATTATTCCTAAGCTTTGAAAAGCTTTGTGTGCTGATAGAAGTGTGTAAACGGCCGCTCAAAACGTGAAAGTTGAATTCCCTTGAAATAGAAGCAGTACTTGTGTTGCTTAACCACAGAGCCCAGAGGACAACTGCTTAAGCTTAGTCACACGCACAGAGTGTTTGAATTGGTCTATGAGAGTTGCGTCTGTTTGAAGATCTTACCTCCGGCTATGGACCGTCGAAAGGTAAGTTGGGATGTACAATTTTTGGAGTCAACCTTTTCTAACCCCCCTTTCCAAATCTCAGAGGCAGCGTAGCTGGCTCGCTGGTTGGTGAAACGCTTTACTGCTGTACATCTCTATTCACTGGCAGTACGACTTCATCCACAAACGACCCTTCTCCCAACTTCGTGTAGACGAAGTACACTTTGATGATAACTGCTTTTAGTCTAACTGCCATCCAAACGACCTAACCGGTGTGGTAGGATCTGCAGAAACACTGGTTCTAGCCAGTGTAGCTCGTTGGGTCATTCAGATATACAAGCCTGACCACCAATCATGTCAAGGTTGCAGCTATCGGTCGGAATTCCTCAGCTACAAAAACCTACTGACAAAATCAGTGTGAAGCTCTGCGCATAGGTGCATCAGTTTGACTTGTTACACTGTTCAACTTCAATCATAAAGTAGGAGAGCGGAAATGTGTGTGACTATACTACAACGGACAAATTTGGGTATTAAGTTCGGAACAGTAAAATAAAGATTAACAAGTATTTTCAAATACGTCTACTCTAATGTTGTGAGGTATTTTGAGTCTTTACAATGAGTCTACAGTCGTTGATTATTATTAATAGGCTGCTGAGGATTTCATTCAGGCGGTCATGAGGCTTTACAATGTCATTGTTACTTACCATGCTGGTTCGCTTACTGAAAGCAGATGTGCTAAGATACTTATAATCAAGCTCAGAAAATACAGCATCACAGAAATGGGTCAGATATTTATTCCTCTTAGTATAAATTCTTCTTTGTAAAGATTTAGTTGTAATTTAGAAGAGATATTTTACAGCTAAACTGTTTTCTTTCTTACCTGTCAATCTATTTCCTTTTTGTTATTTGTAGTAGTCGCACGTAAAACTCTTCTTCAGATCAATTTAAAAGATGTTCCATTAGCTGATGATGTAGACTTGGATAAGATAGCTGAACAGTTAGATGGTTATTCTGGCGCAGATATAACAAATGTGTGCAGGTAAAACTGACTAACTATTATGACTTATCATGTGTTTTAAACATTATTGACTATAAGCTGTTGTTTTTATTTTTATTCTTTTTAAACTTTGTTTTAACATTATCTCCTATAGGCAGTAATCTTGTGTGTTAATATCGTTATCTGAAGATTCAGGGATTCTCAGAAACTCTAACTATGAACATCCTGCAAAGTAAAACGTGGATCTTTAAAATTTTATAACATAATTCGATCAAGTTATTTGAACCTAACTGCTCACCATGTCACCAACTGATGTGTAGTTAAACTCTTGTGCTGTCATTGCACAGCCTAGAGCTTCATTATTTCCTTGTTATCAAGCTCATAAAGATAGGTTTCTTTCATTTGTTTGCCTTCCGGGTTGAACATAGGGCTTCAAACTTTTTAAATTTTCAGTACCGGTGTTGTTTTTATGGATTGAGCTTTGTAGCCATACTCCCGGTATTGTACTACTATGTGCTCTATCAAAAATACCTACGCTGATGAGAATATCCCTTTTTGTAGACAAAAGATGAAAATGTAACCTTATATATTTGAATTCCATTTGATGGCTTTTAAGACTAGAATTACTGTACTCTGTGACCCATTGCGTTGTCTTCTGGTGAATATTTCTTGTAATAAATATTACATTATTTTTATTATTAATCCCTTGGACTCTGAGTGGAATCTAGGGCTTCATCAGCACACTTCCATTTCTCTATGTTCTCTACAGTCTTTTGTAGCTTCGTCCACTATTACCCATGAGGTTTACTCTCTCTTCATATAGTCTCCTCCATGTCACCCTCGAATGCCGTACTCATTGCTCCTCGCTCGGCTTGGACCGAGAGAGTATGACTTGCATGTGACATTACTCCGTAGTCTCCTTAGTGTACATCCGATACATCTTCATCTCCTTCGGTGTACTTGTTAGGCAATAGGTTCTAGGTTTGCAATTAGTTGTGTTCTCTGAGCTCGTTGGTTTAGTTGCGGAGCTTTCGTCGTCCTTCTCGACAACATCCCCCTTCAGCGCAGTATTCAGCACAAAGTGAAATGATTTAAATTCCTTCATGAGTGATATAATTGCGTTTCCCGGTAACCACCATCTTTACAAATGTATTGACCATTCTCTATTGACTCGGATTTTAAACTTTCTGGCCACCTGATTTACTTTTTATTAGTTGGTATATTTCGTCTATATTAACGTGTTTGTTGATCGCATATTCGTTTGAGTGCCAGGCTTCTAGGAATTCCCTGGCAGTACTTTTAGCGTTTCCTCTGTCTAAGATTTTGACATTATCCCAATCAAACTGATGTCCATAATTGTCTATATGCATTGATACTAAAGAATATATATCGTGTCTTTTCACCGCTGATTTGTGTTCTTGGATTCTAATTCGAAGGGGACGCCCACTTTGGCCGATGAAATGTCTGTTACAATTCATACAATTTATTTTGTAAATGCTTTTAATTTTATCTCCTTTTTCTGTTGGATCTTTTGATTTGCATAATATCGAATAAAGCGATTTGACTGGTTTGTGTGCCACATCTATATCAAACGGTTTCAGTGTTCTAGCTGTTATTTCAGATATGTTTCTCATGTATGGTAGGATGAATTTTCTTGTGGTCTTTGATGATGGTTCTTTGTTGGTGTTGTAATTTGATGAAATTGTGTGAATAACCATTACTCTTGAAGACCGTTTGTAGATATTTTTCTTCCATTCTTTTCACCTCTGGAGTGCTACAGTCTGTTTGATTTCTTTTAAACAATGTCTGCACACAGTTTCGTTTGTGAGTAACTGGATTGTTGCTAGTGTAGCTGAGTATTTGATCTGTGTGTTTCTAAATTTCCAGTGTTGGTTCTCTTGACTAAGACATCTAAAAATGGGATTTTGTTACCTAATTCTTCTTCTCTTGTGAATTTTATGTTGGTGGGTTTTCAGACTTCCCTGTTTTGTTTATCTTTTCTGATCTAATCTGATCTGATTTAATCTTCAGTATAGAGCGAAGATTGCTGTTAATGAAAGTCTGCATCAGACTATTCAGAATGCTTTTGATGACATACGAAGCTACTGAAGCATATAGAAGCACTGATTTCGACGTTAATGTTGAAAATCCGAGTTTTGTTTTTTTAATACTGAGCACAGTAGATTTCCAGACTGATTTCACATTAACAAAGGGTCTATCTTGTCTTTCCCATCCTCACTGACTTTGACATTTGCATTCGTGCTTTTGCCTGTATTTGAAGTAATGCTGCCTGGATAAGTGGAACAATTAACCTTCGAATTCTTCCCATATTGATTAGTGTTTGTTATTGTTGTTTGGTTGCTTGGTTGGTTGGTTATCTTCATCATTTGCGTCTTCTCTATGTGCTCCACCTTCCTCTTCTCCCAACATGTCGGTTTTCGTCTATTGATCTTCGAGACATATATTTTGTGTGTGTGTGTGTGTGTGTGTGTATCGTTTTCAACAATATTTTTGGTATTCAGGTATCGGTTTGTAAGGATTTGTTTGATTGGTTACAGGATTTCATCATGGGCTGACATCAGTTAGAGAACCATTGGAAAACCTGCCAGGAGTACTGGGCAGCTGTTTCGTCCTAGTTTGGAACTCTTCATCAGTACGCACCCGCCGGGATTCGAACCCAAGACCTTTTGGTTACAAGGTTAGCGAGCACGTATACCATTATACCACTGGGATCCGATCCAATGGCCCATGAATTCTAAATTCTGCCAATTCACAGAACTGCGCTACTCAGTGGATGAGTCCCAAACTAGGACGAAACAGCTGTCCAGTACTCCCAAGTTTTCCATTGGTTCTCTAACTGATGTCAGCTCGTGATGAAATCCTGTAACCAATATTTTTGGTGTTTTTTCTTCTAAGTGAAATATCTCTCTCTCTCTCCATCCGTATTATTGTACTGTATACGTTATTTTATACAATTTCAGAGATGCATCAATGATGTCTATGCGACGAGCTATAGAAGGTCTTTCAGTTGAACAAATTAAAGGTCTTAATACGGCTACACTAAATCAACCAACACAGATGGCTGATTTTGAAGAAGCTCTCAATCGTGTATGCAGATCTGTTTCAGCCGGTGATGTTGAACGTTATGAGAAGTGGATGGCTGAATTTGGTGCAACATGAAGTATTAAATATTTGATCTATCCATCTGTGTGTGTGTGTGTGTCTTTAAAATCTGCCTTTGATGTTTGCCTAATGTTTTCTTTTTATGTCAAGCAAAAATAGCATTGAACTTTGAGAAACAGGATATATATTGTTGTGTCTTTTTCAGATGTGTTGTGAGCTGTTTGTTTATTTCTTTGTTTCTTGATACTTTATTATATAACTTTGATCAAATAATGCATTAAATAAGAAGCTGAAGAGTTTTATGTTTTAAATAACTGGGTATTTTAGGCATTTAGCCTTATATATAGTAAATACTAATACCATTAAACTTTAACTCTACATTTCACATATCACCCTGCATAGAAATATATATAAATATATAATTCAATGAAAAGCATATACATTTTTAAATTTAATTAAAATTAGGTTATTTGATGAACACTGATGGTTTCGGATATATATCGTCAGCATAGAGTGCTGTTTGGTAAAATGTTGTTGTACTTTTATTCGACCAATTTTACTTGAAGAAGAGAGAACATATATCAAATTTAGACAAAATACTCAGGGAAATTGAGACATAAAACAATTGGTTCAGTGAAGAGGCTTATTTTTCATTTTTTATTCACATATATGTACAACTTATATTTTTACAAAAGAGTACATTGATGAAAAAGAGAAATTTTACAAATAAGCACAGTTGCTAATACTAATTAATAGACAGAAGCATCCAGAGAAGATAGGACTTCGTGTGAACATAGAGAAAACAGAGGTGGTGAAGATTCCTGACCAACAGCAACAACGACAGACAACATTAAGCATAAATGGGAGGAACCTGAAAGAAACAACCTCCTTCACCTACCTACCGACCTGGGAAGCATTGTCGTTTCAACTACAGGCGGACGGAACTGACGAGGATATCAAAGCAAGAATCGGAAAAGCAAGACAAGCTTTCATTACTCTCAAGTCTGTGTGGAGGTCACCAGCACTCAGCATCAAAAATAAGATCCGGATTTTCAACTCCAATGTGAAGTCAGTCAGTGCTACTCACTATACGGATCAGAGACTTGCACTGTGCATCATAAAGAACACCTCAAACAAACTATAGACCTTCATTAACAGTTGTCCATCTCCATGGATTGGCTGGCCATACTTTGAGGAAAGCATCAAGCGAATGACATCACTAGACAAGCCATTGCTCGAGTGGAACCCGAAAGGGAAGTGGCGAGTTGGTTGTCAGTGCGATGGTGGCGTGACTTGGAGGAGGTCATGTGAAGAGGAGATGAAAGCATGTGGGCAGACTTGGAGCTAGGTGAAAACTCTAGCAGAGAACGGAACGCAATGGAGATGCGTAGCTGAAGCCCTATGTTCCTCTAGGAATTAAAGGAAATAGTAATAATAATTATTAGACACGATGAAATGAATGACAGTGATAAACTTGTAGCGTGTGTTACTGACAAGATTTACAAGTAGTACATAGACACAAATATAAATATGTACACCATCTCCAAGAATATCGAATGGTGCAGAGATGGATTTAATGGCGAAGAGAAGGAATGAACGATGCTTGTGAAATAACATAGAAGATAAAGAAGTGTGATACCAAAAGGCAAAGACAGCACAATATCGACGACATGTGCAAATTGTGATTCTAATATGTGCTAGATGTATTTTGTCCATATCTGTACATTAAGTTGCCGATAAATTATCTTTCGTTTTAAGCCGTTACAAAGTCACCTAATAATATAAACTATTCAATGAATGAATTGTAGATGGTCGAAAACACCCATAGAGGACAATTAAGTGGAGAAAGTTTGATTTTCCGATTAAGTCATCTCTGAAGGTTTACAATCTTAAACCTCTTTCTACTTGTTTGCTCCTGTCTTCAATGAGTAATTCAATTCTGTGTCGTCCACGGTTTTCTTCCGTTTATTTAACTAATTTTCTTTCAGCTTCACAAAAGTCAGGCGGACAATCAACCACCCTATCGAATTTCAAACGCTTATTTCTTTTTTTACCTGTAATTGTTACATATTTTCTATTTACCTTTAGAAGCCACTGCTGGAGTAAGTGAATCAGTTATATCCAAAGGAAACTGGTCAAGTAGTCGCCTAGATCTCCGTAAATTACAAATTCATTTGCAAAATTGATAACTACCAATTTCACCTATGATATCATGAGTATTCCCAGGTCGCTAGCAAGAAATGTGGTGGTTTCAACTGATTCGGCCCTCTAAGCTGAGTAAACTAGGTATATCAGTGATGAACTTAGTTGCGAAAGAGGTGAAAGGCCCTCCAGTGTTTACTATTATCATTTTTTCCTTTAGTTTCTAGAGGAAAATAGAGGTTCAGCCGGGCGTCTCCACTGCGTTCAGTTCTCTGCGACATTTTCACCTGACTCCACGTCTGTCCACATGCTTTCATCTTTTCTTCACATGACAGTGTTTAGATCAGTTTGATCTGGCTAGCAAGCACTACTGGTTGATTTGAGCAGTGTGTAACTACTCATCTTAGTTAATCAGTAATGTATAGGTTTACGCATTCATGCTTGACTACTAGTTATGTTATCAAACAGATTACCACTATCATAACTACATTAGAGAGTAGCCTTCAGTTTGTAAAGATGACCGATCAGTCTCAAAAATATCCTACTGAATAAAATCGTATATAGTAGACATCTCATTAGTAATGTAGAACCCGAACTGGAAACTACGAGTGGGTAGTCCGACGGTAATGTGGAGAAGACCATGCGAGGAGGAGATTGAGAGACTGTGGAAAGTCATAGGGCCATCTAAAGGGGACTGCAGAGAATAGCATGAAGTGTTCCACTCAGAACCCAAATGAATAATCATTAGTAACATACAAAATGGCACCACTTATCGTGCAAATATAACATAGCCGAAAGGTATTACAACTGTAGCATATTTTGTCAAGAATGGTTTGTTAAATCTTTCCGAAAGTAGGTATATGATATCCGTTAGTTTGTTTAATCTAACAGTGCAGTGGGTACTGGGTTCGAGCCTCGGTGGGAACATCATCACTCACTGAGAAATGTAGGTACATCCAGCTGGCGAGTCCCAAATAGGACGAAATGCGCATCCTGGATTCCACTGCTAGCCACCATCCACCAATTGTATACTAACTGTGCAGAAGTTGAGAAAAATATAAGTGAAATATAATATTTGCACTAGAACTTTTAATTATTGAGAAAATGCCTTTAAGACAGGATGCTGCAAATAATCGGTTCTTGGAGGGGCGAAGAAGTTTTACGGAGAAGGAATATCGTTTGTCAGAATATTCATGGAGGACTTCATAATGAGCTGACATCAGTTAGAGAACCATTGGAAAACCCAGTAGGGAGTACTGCAGAGCTGTTTCGTCATCTTGGTTTGGAACTCTTCAACAGTACGCACCCACCGGGGTTCGAACCCGGGACCTTCTAGTTACAAGGCGAGCTCGAAGACCATTGAGCCATTGGGACCCGATCCAGTGGTCCTTGAATTCTAACTTCTGCCAATTCACGACATAGCGCGACCATTTCGAAATGCTTTTTTCGATGAATTGCTGCCTCATCTTCAACCTGTTACACCCTACTGGTCACGGCCTCCCACTAGAACCCCGGTAGGTGCGTACTGCCGAAGAGTCCCAAACCTAGGACAAAACAGTTGCCCAGGTTTTCCAGTGGTTCTCTAACTAATGTCAACTCATCATGAAATCCTCCATGCAATCAAACAAAATCCCTACAAATCCAATACTTGGAGAATATTTTTGCTCCTTTACTCCTAAGTAAGAGTATTTAATATACTATAACTGGTTATAAAAATATGTGTTTTCCTGTCTGCCTTTACTTCAACTATAGAAACGAAATATCAAAACCAGTAGTATTTTGAGATTTTTGTGAACGAGTATCTTTTATGCTTTTATTTCTGTATGTTTTAATCACCTTCGCAAAAACTTTCTCAAGCAATTAAACAGTCATTTCCGCGAGCCTGAAGTGCACTATCTTTTGGCTAGTAAATTAATCAAATGTTCAGACAAAAAGTGCAACAGACACAACTAGCTGTCATCACTGTATTAGACGGTAGTAATTGTCGGTTAGTGAGAATGGAATTCAATGGGTGCCATTAACATTCCTCTTAGATTAGCAGAACTTCGCTATATCAACATTGAAGTTGCCTGTTAAACTGACTATATTCAGGCGTTTCGCTTTTTAGCCGTAAATAAATAACCGTATTCGGTTACATAATCGCGAAAGCTTTTCAGCAGAGATATTCCTTCAAAGTGTTTCTGTGAAATCCTATTTCTTTCCCATATGTTGAATATCTTACTTTTGTATCAGGAAAGAAATGTGTGTATATTTTCTATCTCATTACTTCTCAACTGACTAGCTTTTGATTTCCTAGACTAAAAGTGTTAACTTTGGGAAAAGAAGAAGAATCTTGCTTGAAATTACTAAATTTAGTCAAGTTAGTAACTAGCAGTGAAAACCTACTAATATAAATGTCAGACATCAGTCACTAGAGGTAATGTGGAATGCTATACTACTCAGCAGATCAGATAATTAGAAGGATAAGTTTTAATTGTCTGTACTGATCATTAGTGATCTCCGAATTAGAATCACAGTGTCGAGGCTTAACGGCCAGTATGGCTGACTCAATTTCAACGCAGAAGTGCAGCATTTTAACTTCCCTCACTCCATAAAACACGACAATGCACAGAAAAAATTTAAAAATTCAAAAGAACTATAATAGACAGAAATTTACAGGGAAAAATAATTACATGTTGAGAAATGAAGATAATTGATCTGAGAGACAGCAGTGAATGAAGGTATATGCGCCAATGACAACAATTTTGAGTCATATTATGGTGAGAACTGGCTGCTAGCCAAATTGGTAGACAGTAATTTACGTCAATGTTTACGCCCCCAATATTGGTTGTGAGAAAAATAAGAACAAAGACTGATTCAACAACCAGTCACAGCAGACTTCGCGTAGGCGGATACAGTTAGCATATAGATGATCTGACATTCAAGAAACGGCCACAAAGAGGTTAAAGATTAACGTTCAACGAGAAACCACCAATCAAAAAACTGTCTTTATATGTTTACAATAATCTATAATAATGTGCATGAAAATCTATAAATATCTGTTGATTTCCTAAAAAAAACTATCTGTTGCCTGGCTCTTGTCTTCTGTTGTTACAATATTACCAACAGTCTGAAGGATGGGGTAAACTGCAGTACAACATACAAGTCCTTTGAACGATAGCTGGATATCACGTCTACGCCAGAGATGACGTAAGTTGGCAAATGCTACGCAAGTCTTTTGTATCCATCTTGAGGCTTCATCAGCAATCACTCCATCGGATTAAATGCCGATTCCAAAATAAGTGAAGTGGTTATCTCCTTCATTCCCTATTTTTAAACTAGGAGCTGATGCAGACAAGTCCTGTAGAATCACCTTACGTTTGACAGGGGAACAATTCTAATGCACAATTAAGAAACACTCTCTTTGATTCACTAGACATATAAGCTAAGTTAACTAATGTGGTTTTCATGATTGACTTAGCAATAAAAAGTCAACTTTACATACTAATTTCAATCCCATAATGTTTGATTCTCCTTAACTGCATTAAACACTGCTAAATGATGCTTAATTCATCGTATGGAAGTAAAAAATAACAAGTTTTTAAGAAACATTTATGTTTTTAGATTTAATAGAGGATGAGAAATTTATGTTTTTTTAATGCCAACCATGAATGAACTACTCTTTCAGTTATGCATGTTTTGTTGTTGATGTTGTCTTTGTGTGATATTCAGTGACAACCGTCTTTACAATGATCTTTACCAACACCTGGTTTATGACAATCATCATCACAATGTTGTCCTTTAGCATGTTCTTTACCATCAGCTGGTTTCTTACAGTCTTGTGTACAATGTTCAGATGGTGGACATTTGTCTTTACATTCAGGACCGCCGGCTACATGGTGATGTTGATGACCTACAGAATGAAGAATGAAAATTTTTGATTAGTTCAATTTTATTGAAACATCTTGTTAGAGGGTAAATGAATGAATCAAGAACTGCCGAAAAAAATTCACCTTCAGTTAAAGATAAATATTCTTTCCTTTGTTGTTGAGGTAGTCTTACGTCGGAAGATTGAAATTTATGACATGGTTGGTTCTTGAAGATAACAATGAAAACAAAGTTGTGACAGAACTTAAAGCACCTTGCAGATGATGCAGTTCTTCTAGGACAGGACGCTGACAAAATGCAGCAGAGTCTTCTGAACACCTTGAGCTGCAATCTACGAATATTTGGGATGCGATTCACTCCCACCAAATGTAAGATGATGTTACAGGACTGACTCATAGTTTAGAAATAGGGAGTGAAGTGGTAGAGCACGTTCACCGCCTCACTTATTTGTGAAGTACCATCAGCCAGTGCCAACGGGTTGATCATTGACGAAATCTCAGTACGGATACAGAGGGCTAGTTTTGCATATGCCAGTTTACGCCGTCTCTGGCGTAGACGTGATATCCGACTATCGACCAAAGGGCGTTTGCACTGCTCATCAGTCCGCTCCGTCCTCCTTTATGGCTGTGAGCGAGACGTGGCAATCGAGAGTGGAAGACATGAAAAGATTAGCTGTCTTTGATCATAGGTGCCTGCGTTCTATCTCCCGTCGTAGGTGGTAGGTGCATTAGTGTGAGCAGTATTTAGGTAGGGCGTCGAGTGCTAGGTAGGTGGGAGGGGAAATCAATCAACGAGGCTATGAAGTTACATCAACTGAGATGGTTAGGACATGTGTTACGCATGCATGCCTAGTCATCGCCTTCCTCGACGGGCAATGTTAGCTGTGTTAGTCCCAAATAGGACGAAATGCGCCTTATCCTGGATTCCACTGCTAGCCACCATCCACAAATTGTATACTAATTAAATGCCCAGACATCTTCGAGGCATCTGCACAAGAAGCCGACATGTCAACCTGAGACCGAGCACTTCGGTCCAATCAATCGACGGAAAATCAAAAATTCAATTCAACAACTGTACAACCTCTGAAGATGATTTCGTCGATAAAGAATTTGTATTTTAATTGCTATGGTTATTGTGATTCTATTTATTATAAGTAAAAGAAGGAAAGTTAAAAGCAACTGTTGATACGGCTAAATATGGTCATAACAGGTGTTCAAGTGGATTTCAATCATTTTTTACGCTAATATTTTCATAATTTTTATGAAATTCCTGCTTAGTATAGGCCGCCGTTTCCTTTGAATGATGTTCTATCTTACGAAAACTGGATATGGTTATTGAATTGCATAACTTGTATAATTCCATATGTTTGTTTATTAAATGTATCACACAGTGAAACAGTATTGTATGCTGGATGACGTTTCGAATACAATTTATTGTTCATAATCATATCAATTGCATAACTTGTATAATTTGGAAAATAATAAAATAATATAGAAATTGCACCTGTGATGTCAACTACAAGGAATAAATCAGTGGGTGAAATAATGAATCTCCACGAAATCACTTAGCTCATACATTTCTAACATCTTGCTCAGTTTTTTTATTCCCTCACGTTCCCAGTGGAGCATAGGGCTTCAAGCTAGAGGTTTGAAGTTTCTGTAGCAGTGTTTATTTTTACAGAATGAGGTTGTTAGCCTCATGCTTAACCTTCCCTCTTTACCAGCTTTTATTACTTACTGGCTTAGCGATGTAAAGGAGTGGGTCGGCCGGGGATCGAACCCCGGACCATGTGCATGGTCGGCGAGCGTACCAACCGCTGTGCGCCACCGACGCACCACCTTCATCAGTAACCAATACTTTCTTAAGAACGGTTATTATAGTAAACAATGACATTATTAGGCAGTAAAATGTGTCTGAATTAAGTCATAAGTAAAAAAAAACATTCAAATAACTTGCATCATAAAGATTTAAGCATTAATCACAATCAGTTTAATAGGCATAGAATACTTACTTCCATGTGAAGACATTGTTGACGAATAATGAGTCTTGTGAAATATACTTTCTGTTTCTGTGTTTCTTTCATTCACTACTATTTTGTTTCATTTATATACACAAAGTTAAAGATTTACATCCGGTTTATCTTGTTTAATTACAATGTCTAATTATTAGTAATTAAACAAAAGTAGTTGACCATTTAAATTAATTTCCAGTTTATTGCTATAAGTAAGCAATTATAAATCGAAAAAAATGCACTCATTTCATAAACAGTTCATGTGATGCGATGTGAAATTCACATACATACTGAAAGTACCCATTGAGAAATTAGAAACAATAAGAAGTTTGGAGAATATATATATATATATGTATTCAGTGAGTTTCATACCAACAACTGCAGAATCTCTCTTCAATAGATATTCATCCCACATGATATTATAGTTTCAAGTACTGCTTAACTTAAAATAGTGACAAATGTGAAAGTTTGTAGCGAAAATAGTCCTAAAATGTTATAAAAACTCATAGGTGTGAAGAATAGTGAAGATTATATTAGATGGTTGGGGGAAATTAGCAGGAAGCCTTGGACCTAGGTTTCGTGCTAGTTGGCACTCACCAGTCAGCAAGGCGTATCTGCAACCCTGAAGGAACTCATGCCCCAACCCTCTGAGATTAGAACCCGCGTCACCCAGTGCTGCAGTCAGAGACGTTACCAATGAGCTACTCGGGCTTGCGACTGACCTCCTGTAGGACTGTAATGGGTACTTTGATTGGACACTAGTAACTAGTGTGATTTGTCTAGTCCTCTCTTTGGTGCAGACTGAATTCTATCAGTCACAGTTGTAATGTAGTCACCATTCTAGGTAGCTCGGCATCACAGTGCAGATTGATTTGATGATATTAGATGGTTGGAGGTAATCGGCAGGAAGCCTTGGACCTAGGTTTCGTGCTAGTTTGCACTCGTCAGTCCTACAGGAGGTCAATCGCGAGCCCGAATAGCTCAGTGGTAACGTCTCTGACTGCAGCACTGGGTGACACCGGTTCGAGTCTCAGGAGGGACATGAGTTCCATCATGGTAACAGAATGAAGATTATTCCATATTAGAGATGTGGAAATGTGGCTTACTGGATTAAACATCCAAGTTTAAGCGAGTGACTCCTGTGTTTGAATTTGATTCCGCCTAACTTAGTTAGTCACCCAGTGGCCACCCGCTGAGAAGGCCGCAGAAGAAGACAGAAGCAAGTGGAGACGTGCAGTTGAAGCCCTATGTTCCACTAGGAACCCAAGGGAACAATAATAATAATAATTTAGTCAGAGCAACTGGCTGGCATCATAAGCACTCACACAGTAAATGTTTGGCTTAAAGCCTGGTTCATGAAAAGTTTGTTCCGAGCAACTGGGTTTCAACAAAAAGGCATATTAGATAAGTCTTGGACGATTGCATTAGTAAAAGGAAGGGAGTAAAATTTATCTACATGATTATGAGTAAGAGAAGACGTTGAGCGAAGAGACTCTTTTCGGCGAATTCATTCACATAGCTGTAATATCGCATTTATATATAATTACTTGTGTGTGTGTGTGTACATGAGGTTTGTCAAGTTTAGATAATTAATCAGGTAATACAAGAATGATCTAATACAGGAACAACGGTAATTAGACGACAACTAAAGTAAGATTGAGTTAGTAAGTTAGATGACGCAATATAATTGACTAAAATGTATCACCTTAGGTTAGGGCAGCAACAAAGGTAATTACAGGTAGAGACTAAGTAGAAACTGGGTATAGAATAATGCCATTTAAATTAGAACTGAAATTGAGCAAACAAGTTTGATGACGTAACATAAATGACCAGAAATTGAGCGTTGGTCAAGTCAGTAGCAGTGGTAGTGAGGTGTAGAGATTAAGTCGGGTAAGGGTAAAGAACAAGAAAGTTGAAAATGTAAAATATTACAATTGAGAAGACAGAATAATACTAATGAAGAGACAGAAAGAAATAAAATTTACCTGTCGTGTATTAAGACGGATTACGTCCATTGCAAGTGTAGTGACTGCACGAACTTCTTCTGAATGCAGAGTTCATGGCTTAGTAAGTGAATCGACATTGCTTTTGCAGTTTGAAGAAGTCTGATTCGTACACCTTTAGGGTTATAGGAGGCAAATGGTGTTTGAAACGTCACCTAGTTATTAATATAGTATCACTGTGCGTTAGGTCAAATAAACCTATCTGATATAAAATTATATCTTACTACGATGCCCGAATTCTACTTATCACACTAAAAGTGAACACTACTTTTCTGGGTAAAAATTAAAATATAAAGTGAAAAGACTGAAGATAACGAAAAAACAAAAATAAGTCTACATTATTAGATACAAAGAGTAAACAAACCTCTTCGGTATCTCTAGACATACAGCCAAGGATCGGACAGTACCAATGAGTCAAAAAGCACGCTACCCTGGATAGATTTCTGTCTTATTTTGCACAACACTTTGAGTAGTGAGTCACTCGAGAAGTTGTAGGAAGTGTTGACGTGGTGGTAAATGATGCTATTTATGGTGGAATCACCTTCCTAATTTTTCCTCTAAGCCGTGAAGAGTTTTTAATTCATCTTCAAAGGACAAGATTTTAACTACCTACATATCCAGTGCAATATAATCTCATGAAGTGATGTATATACACAAAGTGGTAAGATGCAGAAGCTTGTCCTTTAAACCACTAGACAATACAATTTTGAGAGCCTCTAAATCAAGGCATTATTTAGGGATTTAGAGAATTTCTATTTATTACCTCATGTACAATATTGTCTTGAAAACTGAAGCTCTGTGGCTCTGATTCTGTGTTCTATCCCAAAGATCGTGTGGAATATCAGTTTTCAGTTAAAACTTCTCTGAATAACAAAAGGCTCTTTTCCTAAACAGTTAGTTCTTCGAAGTATTCAAATGTAGTTGACAAGTGAGACTATTAAAGATTTCTCAATAATTAAGGATACTCAACTATTAAAGTTCGTTAGCTGGTCATTGCATGGCGATGGATGTTTCCAATATCTCAACATCTCTCTTGATCAGCTCTTCATCCAAAAAAGGAATTCTTCATTAATCTTCGGTTTTTGGAGTATAATCAGGCGAACCTTAACAGTTACTTATTGCGTGCGCAAAATCATGAAAATGTCATCTCTACTGCCTTTTGTTTACCGCAGATATGTCGATTGTCGGCTGCAAACCTCAGGTTTCTATGCTGAACATAAAGTAGTCCTCCAGAAGCAAGACAGCATAGGAAGCTATAGCTATTCTTTCTTTTTGCCAGTAGACATCCCCGTTACAGATGAATTAAGAAAACATGAGTCAGCAAAGAGATCTCCTTTCGTAACTTTAATTCAAAGCTGTACAATGATTTAGGAGGTTTATGTATACTATATAGATTGACAGCAGAGATTAAGGATTATTGTCATTTAGTAATAAAGCAAATCAAAGAGTATGAGCAATAACTATGTTCGAAAACTTAAATAATCAAAAGCGTTGACAACTAATTAGTAGAGTGATAAATAATTAATTAATTAAATTTAATTTTGATTATAGCTTGAAACCACACAGTATTTCTGACACAGTTATGTTATTTTCAGCTTATGATATCGGTAGCCCAAATTTTGCAGGCCCACCGTAGATATCAGGTGTGCGTCGGCAGGGGATCGAACCCCGGACCATGTGCATAGTCGACGAGAGTCCTAACCGCTGTGCTACCGACGCAACATGTGTGATATGAGACAAGAGAGCAAAAGATTGAAAATGCATTGCGAAAAACATAAAGCGGACTACAAGAGCTTATTATACTGTTATTGGAGAAGACAAAGTAAGAAAAATATTACTAGGATCATGATAGTAAAAGAGACTGGTAATGACGTCTCAGCTCTGTTTTCAATCGATATTGTATACATAACTCCCCCCCCCCCTTAAATAACTCTACAGCTTTTAAGCGAAGTTACAAAAAGTGATCTCTTTACTAACTCATGTGTTCTCAATTACAAGAAATGAGAATTCTTCACACTTTAAAGATAAATTATCAACCTATGAAGCGGTGCTGTAAGGCATAACGCTGGTATCTCAATACTCAAGCTATTTTTTATCTATATATTATCTTTGTTAATGGATCATTCATGGAAAGTGATTTAACGTCAAATAATAATCTTCGGGATGGTTCAGAGATTCACGTTGAATTCAGATAGGTTTTTAAACTTTTAGACATGTTTGATAAGCTTCTTCTTCCTATGATAACGTCTTTATTAAACACCTGATAGTCACACACACACATTTATTGTGAAAAGTTTTACTTCAGCTCAGATGTTCGTGAATTAATGGAAATGATAAAATTTATCGCATGATGCTGAAGCAGTTTCAAGTTGGAATAAAATTTCTTCAGAGTACCTTGCAAAACTAATTCGAGTACTTATGGCTTTCCAATGAAGTCAAGTTTTATATTAACTTAAGCAAGCTCGACAAGCTTCGTAACTATCGATAGGTTCATTCTATTGACCAGTATACGAAAAATACCAAGTGAGGAAAGTTCTTGCAACGATATATTTTTTCTGATTTCATTTTTATTTTTTCAACCATACATAAATTTTGGTCTCAGTCCTTTTACTACAACGCCTGCGTTCCATGTTATATTAGAATAACTACCTCCATTCTCTCCTTTCACATTTTTGCCATTCTGTCGAATTAAACAATAATTGTAACTATGTTATCTTTTAGGGCAGAAATGTGCAATATGGTAATTTTACAGTCATTCAGAATAAAACTGTCGGAAAGGTATATTCCTTGAACTTTTGGTTAAATTAGTGTCACTTAATACATATGTAAACGATTACTATTATCGTCAGTCCACACATTGAAGTATACGATATCCTTTATAAAAGAATTAATTCACAGTGACAACTGAATCACAAAAGTGCATATTATGTGTGTTTGATTGTTGTCGTAGTTTGCTGACTACGACGCGATTGCTAATTAAATAATTCCTAGTTTTACTTCAGTCTCTGAGATT